AGATTGGTCTAGTAGCTAGATTCCTCCTCGGAGTATTAAGCATAGATGGTAAGAGATCTAGATACTTGAGGTTATAACCATTCAACTTTCCTTTTTCTTGGATACAATCAAGAAGAGACTGCTTCAAATGGGAATTCTTCAAACCAAATAGTTCCCTATTATCCTTTGATCCTGGAAAACATAAATTGAATACCGCGACAGCCTCCTTCACACAATCTGAATCTTGCCAACACCGTTGCGCCCATGATGTTTCTACCTGTCAAACATTGTACAGAAGACAAGAGACAAACAACATTTACAGCTACAAAAATAAAATGAAAAGCATAGCATTAACTTAGATACAGGAAATTAGAAATCCAAGCATAACTGCAAATGGCGAATCCAAACTATCCTGCAAGAAGCACGAAATGCAGGCGTTTCGAGACAATCTAAATCTTCTTATAGGGAGCATGAAACAAAACCAAAAATGCAATCTTCTTTCAGCAAGAAACACGCTAGTCTCACACACTCTCTATAAAGTCTACTACAGAGCTACAGGATCTGCTAGATTATACATTCTAGCTACCAAAAAAAACGAACCGAGAATCCAAAACTTAGGCTTGAAAACTATTTTACAAGAAAGATTCGCAATAAAAAGCTGGAGCTTTCATTCTATTTGATACAAACAGAACATAAATATGTCTTTATACAAACGAAACAAACAAAAACAGGGACAAGCATGAACCAAAAACTATGACAAGTTAAGAATACTACATGACACACAAATTCGAAAACCATAAGACTCTTTATAGCAGAACACAATACAAGTGTCTCATAATGCTCTAACATGAATCAAAACCAAAAAAAATGCAATCTCAGACTCTAAAACCTAGCTACAAGCAAGAAACAGACAATGTCCTTCAACTCTCGCCTTAAAAGTACGCAACAGAGCTACAGAAACCAAGCTTGTAAAGCAAAAGGCAATCTTTACCATTTGTTCATTGACCATCTCTGATGATGGGGCCTTGAATTGATTAAGAAAAATCTCATCTTGTTCTGAATTCTCTTCCAAGGTTATTACAAAGAACCCAGAAAGCAGAATCAACCAGAAAACTAGACGAGCCCAATTCTGATTACACATTCTTCCTCCTCCAATCATTCCAAGCATATCTATTGCTTCTCATTTCATCAGATACTCTCAAAGAATCTAACAACAATGGTGTAATCAAAAGACCAATGCTCTCAAATCAAAAATTCTAATATAATAATAGTAGGACGATTTTGCAGCTTTTCTAATGCAGACCCTTCAGCTGAAACTCGATCAAGATCGAAACTTTAACACAAAAACTCAACAACCCTGATCGAAATTCTAGAATTTTGGAGCTGACTTCGATGCAATTTCCTT